CCAGTCCTGGGGCTTGAACTCAGGGCCTGGGCTCTGTCCCTGAGCCTCTCTGTACCCAGGGCTAGCGCTCTATCACTTGAGCCACAGCACCACTTTCGGCTTTTTCTGTGTATGCGGTACTGAGGAATCAAACCCCAGGGTTTCATGCATGCTAGGCAAGCACACTACCACTAAGCCTTATTTCCAAGCCTCAGGTGTTCATTCTTTGATCTTTACTCTTCCTGAAGTTCCACAGTGACTATGAGAGACTCAGAGGGGGAAATGGCAGAGGACAAGACAGGGCTTGTTAGGCCAGTGTCCAGGCCTTCTTTCAGATGTGTGCCCTTTGAGCAAGGATATTTTGAGAAGGATAAACAAGAAACTGGCTAAGCAATGGGTAGCTCTAGGCAGGGCAACAGTGTGGTACATAAACAGGAGGGAAGGGACACACTTTTCCTTATCTATCTGCTTTCTGCCTTTTTGCTATATCTGTTTTTCTAAAATACTTTTTTTTTTTTTGGTTGGTCATGGGGCTTGAACTCCAGGCCTGGGCGCTGTCCCTCAGCTCTTCAGCGCAAAGGGAATACTCTACCACTTGAGCCATAGCACCACTTCTGCTTTTCTGGTGGTTTATTGGAGATAAAGAGTCTCACAGACTTTCCTGCCCAGGCTGGCTTTGAACAATGATCCTTAGATCTCAGCCTCCTGAGTGGCTAGGATTACAGGCATGAGCCACTGGCACCCAGCGAAAATAAACTCTTTTTAACTATGTTTGTTTAAATACAAGAAAATGATTTGCTGAGGGCTTCCCAGTAGCTAAGCCAAACTTGCACTCTAGGTGGGGCTGACCCCCTGGTGGCCAAGTGGAGGAGGTGCGTGAGAGCAAGGAACATGCCGAGCATAAGCTACAGGACGCTGAGGGCGTGTGCCAGCATGCCACCTCTTCCTCTACCTTTCAGCTGAGGCTAAGCGTTGGCTCCAGAAAGTCTTCATGAACCACACTCACAGGGTCATTGTTTCCTCCTTTATGCTTGGAGCCTCTTCTGCACCAGGGCCCTGAATCCCAGGCCACATATGGCACTTAGCTTCTCCTGTTTGCTTGAGTACACTGTAAACCTTGCCAGGCCTGGCTCCTCCTTGGGTGAGCAGACATGGCTTGGAATTCCAGGTTTGTCATGTGAGGAGGAAATGGGACAGTGCCCATGTACCCAGTGCATGGTGGGTACTGGTGGGGGGGCGTATCCTTCTCTCTTGGATAATGGCTGGTCAGATCATCCGCACCAGTTAAAATAGGCAGCATTGCCTCAGCTAGACAGCCCCTCACCACAATTACGCCTTCCCTGGTGAGTTGCATCCAGTGACTGTTAAAAAGACCTACCATGCTTGTCTGTAATCCTACTCAGGAGGCTGGGAACTCAGGATCACCATTCAAAGCCACTGGGGCGGGAGGGGGGGGGGAAGGGAGGGCTGGGAAGGTGGCTCAGTGGTAGAGTGCTTGCCTTGCATGCATGAGGCCCTGGGTTCGATTCCTCAGCACCACATAGGCAGAAAAAGCCAGAAGTGGTACTGTGGCTCAAGTGGTAGAGCGCTAGCCTTGAGCTGAGCTGAGGGACAGCACCCAAGCCAGAGTTCAGGCCTCATGACTGGCAAAAAAAAAAAATGCCACTCAGGGAAGGTCTGAGATACTTATCTCCAACTGATCACAGATAAAGCTGGAAGTGGAGCTGTGGCTCAAGTAGTAGAACCTTAGCATTGAGCAAAAAGAGCTCAGGGACAGTGCCCAGGCTCTGAGTTCAAGCCCCATGACTTGACAAATAAAATAACCAACACAAAGCGGGGCTGGAAGCCAGGCACTGGTGGCTTACACCTGTTATCCTAGTTAGCAAGCAGAGATCCAAGGATCAAGGTTCAAAGCCAGCCCAGCCAGAAAAGTCCATGAGAATTTTATCTCCAATAAATGACCCAAAAAAGCCAGAAATGGAGCTGTGGCTCAAGTGGTAGAGTGCTAGCCTTGAGCAAAAGCAGCTCAGGGACAGTGCCCAGGTCATGAGTTCAAGCCCCAGTACCAAAAAAAAAAAAAAAAAGTTGGGCTGGCTGAAGTAGTAGAACAGCATAGAAAGCAAGCCAAATACGCAGATTATGAACCAGAAAAGAGGGGGGTGGGTGGCGAGAGGAGAGGGGGAATCAGATTCTGGGCTGGGGGATCCAGCACTGAGAAGCAGGAGACACATTTGACTGAATGCCCTGACTTTCAGGTATACAAATGAAAGTAGTACTAGTAAAAATACTCCTGGGGGCTGGGAATGTGGATTAGTGGTAGAGTGCTTGCCTAGCATGCATGGAGCCCTGGATTCAATTCCTTAGTACCACAAAAACAGAAATGGTCAGAAGTGGCACTGTGGCTCATGTGGTAGTGCTGGCCTTGAGCAAAAGAAGCTCAGAGACAGTGCCCAGGCCCTGAGTTCAAGCCCCAGAACTGGCCAAAAAAAAATAAAAAAATCCTGGGCTGGGAAGGTGGCTCAGTGGTAGAACGCTTGCCTTGCACGCCTGAGGCCCTGGGTTCGATTCCTCAGCACCACATAAGCAAAATAAAAAAAGCCGCAAGTGGCGCTGTGGCTCAAGTGGTAGAGCGCTAGCCTTGAGCTGAAGAGCTGAGGGACAGCACCCAGGCCCACAGTTCAGGCCCCATGACCGGACCCCAAAAAAAAAAAAAATCCTGAATTACTCTTCAGGTATTTCATAATCACTGATTATCACATTAAATCTATTCGCTGAGAACAGATTTTGTTGTTGTTGTTCGTGAGGCCTGAACTCTGGGCCTGGGCACTGTCCCTTAGCTCTGCAGCTCAAGGGTAGCACTCCACCACTTGAGCTACAGCGCCACTCCCAGCCTTTTCTGTTTATGTGGTGCTGAGGAATAGAACCCAGGGCTTTATGCATGCTAGGCAAGCACTCTACCACTAATCCACATTCCCAGCCCTGCTCTGATTTCTTTATCCTTACTTATCATACACTGGCCTTGCATTGTCTGCATTAACTGAGTTCCATTCTCAGGAATATTAGTAAAAGAAAAATTAGTTACAAATATGACATCCTACTATAAAGCAAAATTTGTCTAGTGCTGATAGCTCGAGTTCATGAGACTCTTATCTCCTCCAGTTAACCAGCAAGAGAGAACAGAGCTGTGACTCCAGTAGTAGACTGCCAGTCTTGATGGGAAAAAGCTAAAAGACAGTGCCCAGGCCCTTAGTTCAAGCCCTAGTACTGGTACAAAAAAAAAAGTAAAACTTGAGAGAAAATATTAACACGGACACTGGTGGCCCATATCTATAATCTTAGCTACTCAGTGGACTAATAGCTGAGAAGTGAGGTTTGGAGAAGCCTGGGCAGACAAATCTGACATTGTCTCCAATCAACAAGCAAAAAATATGGAAATAGAGGTGTGCAAAGTTGTACAGTGCTAGTCATGAGTGAGTGAGCAAAAAAGCCAAGTGAACATGAGGCCAAGTTTAAGCCCCAGTTAATTTACACTGGGAGGCCAACACAGAGAGATTACTAGTTCAAGGCTAGCCTGGACTACACAGTGAGACCATGTGTTAAAAATAAAAACGTGCCAGGCGCTGGTGGCTCATGCCATCTCTTGGTGGCTACTCCAGAGGCTGAGGTCTGAGGATCCTGGTTCAAAGCCAGCTCCAGCCCAGGCAGGAAAGTCCATGAGACTTATCTCCAATAAACCACCAGGAAGCCGAAGTAGCACTGTGGCTCAAGTGGTAAAGCATTAGCCTTGAGCTGAAGAGCTGAGGGACAGTGTCCAGGCCCAGAGTTCAAGCCCAATGACCAAAAAAAAAAAAAAAACACCTTGCCTGGTACCCTTGGCTCACACCTGTGATCCTAGCTTTTCAGGAGGCTGAGATCTGAGGATCATGGTTCAGTCCGGGCAAGAAAGGCCATAGACTTTTAACTCCAATTAACTACCCGAAAACTGGAAGTGGTGCTGTGGCTCAAGTAGTAAAGTGCTCACCTTGAGCTAAAGAGCTCAGGGATAGTGCCCAAGCCCAGAGCTCAAGCCCATGACCAACACACACACAAAATAAGCAAAGGGAGGGTGATTTAGCATTCCAGACCGTATCCTACACGACCCCCCTTCCCCCCTCTCCCCTCAACCTAAACTTGGTGCTCCATGAAGAGACAGCACATTTTATCCTGTGGATATTTAAAGCCACCTGTGAAAATCAGGCCTCAACAGGTACCTGGGCCTTAGTGTCCTGAACCATTCATCCAACTGGTCTCTGAGCCCCCGGATTCCTCCAACATGTCTCCACTGCTCCTGGCGACTAGAAACATCCCACCTTCTTTATTGGCTGAACTTGGGCTCGAATGTACATCCAGGAGCCTACCTAGAGGCTACCAGCAGTTGGCTTTCTCCTCACAGTTCCACAGCGCTGAGTTCATTCTCCTTTCAACTATCAGATACATGGAATCACTCCATTACACGCTGGCTCCTCCAGGGGCCGCTGCTGTTCCTACTCACCTCTGTGGCCATGGCCCTAACACACAGAGGGTGCTCAGCAAAGCGTCCCAATGACAAAAACAGAAGCCAAGGAAAGAAGGGAAGGAACTGCTTCCGGCCTTGTGCTCCTTCTTTCCAAGCAAAGCCATCACAATTTGAAGCAAAAAGGAAAAAACAAACTTGCCAAGCTTTATTTAGGTTGGAAAGGTTGCAGATAGCATATCTAACTCTATAATCCACCCACACTACGCAGTCCCCTGGCAGTCTCGGCTGCCCATTCTCCTCCAGTCTCATTTCTTCTCTTCCTCCTTCTTGTCCTTCTTGCCATCCTTGGTGGCCTGGGAGGCCAGGGAGCCCATGGCATTTCGGATGGCCTCATTGTTGGGATCCACACCTGGCAGGTTTTCTAGGACGCTCTGAAGGAACTCGGGGTCCTGCATCACATCATAATCATCCTCCTCCTGAAAAGAGGCAGCATTAGCTTGGAGGCTGCCAGGGGCTGGCTGAGAGCACACTGCTACCTGAGCCCAGCTCTGCTGACGCATGAGAACGGGGCTAACTGAACTCAGAGGAGCTTTCCTGCTACCAGACCCCGCATTCCGCGTGTTCTCTTTCCCAGACTCTCTTCACCATTCTGGGAAGAAGGTATCCTAGTCTGCTCCAAGAAAGAGACATTTCAGAATGTGGGCCATTTCTCCAACTGACCACTAACATTCTGTTCCTTTAGCAGCTCTGTACTTCCTCCTGCTCCTCAAGACTCATCTGTGACACCTGGAGAAAGGGATGGATGGTCTAGTCCCCAGGACTAGAGGCTTGCAAACCTGACAGGGGCAGGAGGTCATCGCTGGCCCTCACCTTGGCTGGCTCTGATGTGTCCATGGCCGAGTTGGCATCAATGTCAGCTGATTCTGCCTGACCAAACTCTGGGGAAAGGAGGGCAGTCACTTAGTTCAAGCTCCTCATTATAACTCCGACCACGCACTACCACTCCAGCTCAGGCCCACCTGCTCCCTGTAGGGACATCTGCATGGCATAGGCGATCTGCTCCTCCTCAGTCATGCTGCTTAGGTCAGGAAGCCCTGGGCGTCCAAACTCCTGCTGGTTGATGGTCATCTTCAGCAGCGCATCATCTGAGTCTGAAAAGGCAAAACGGGCAGGATAGAATGGGGGCCACATTCCACACAGCCATAGCCCCAAGCCATTCCCTGAGGCTAGCCTCCCGAAGGCCTGCCAGGCCACCCCGATGGTTAGCACCCTGCATCCTGGGACTTCAGATTCCACCTCTTTCACCTTCAGCCCCAGTAGCAGCAATTCCAGCTTCAGCTGCAGAGGCTGCAGCAGCCCGCCGCGCCTCTTCCTCCTGCCGCTGCCGCTGCTCCTCCATAGAAACACGAAGGGCCTGGCAAGGGGAAGAGCAAGGTCAGATTTCCCCAGCTGCAATCCCACTCGGGGCTGGTGAAGGCCAGGAGTGTGGGGAAAGGGCATGATGGCAACTTCTGTGTATCACATGGGGAAGAAGCCAGAAGGGTTAAGGGAAGGTATAGGAAAGTAGCTAGAGCCTGGGGTTTAGTCACAAGTCAATATGCTAGTCTGACACTGGTCAGACAGACCTAGATGTAAGCCCAGGGCTGAGGAAATGAATGAGGGTTGTGGGACTGTTTAATATTCTCTGCTGTCACAGGAGAGTATTTGCTCACCAGGGCCAGCTCAGGGTCAGCACTGGGATCCACTCCAAATTCAAAGTCACTGGCACCAAGACCCAGCATGGCACCACCTTCGCCAGCCAGAATCGGAGAACTGATGAGGGCATCGGCCAAGCTAGGCCCCGGAGGCACGGTGACGAGATGGGAGCCGGTCCCATCTTTGCCATTCAATGTGTTCACAAAGGCCGTCAGCTTCTCCGTGTTCACCTCCTGGGAAGGGAGGCCGCAGGTATGTTCTTCACACCTCCCGCCTCCTGCTCGAGCCGCAGCCCTGCCTGCAGCTTCGCTCTCAGGGGGGACCCTGCTCTGCAAAGGGCTGTCCCATCAGAACCAGCCAAATCAAACCAGCGCCCCAACGGCCCAACTCACCTCTTCCCCAAAATTGATGATGTCAACATTCACTTTCTCTTTCTTGAGGCGTTTGGCTAGTTTCACCAGCTAGGAAGAGGAGAAAAAGCAAGCAATCTACTCCATGCCATGAGGAAAAAGGACTCACCTCACAAAAGCATACAGAAAATCATTTCTCTCCCAGACACACTGAAATCTGCCCCTCCATTCTCCCCCCACAAAAGGAGCCTGGTGCCCTGCAAAGTTCTCAGTGCTGCAAAACTTCACTCCCTAACGTGGGCTGCGTCACGCATGCTGTCCGGTGAACTCACATCCTTCTCGTTGTCCTCCACGGGGCTTCCCACAAAGGCAATGATGCGCATCTTGTGATTCTTGCCCTGCCGGTGCTTCAGAGCCAGCTTGGAAAGAACAGGAAATTACATCAACATAGAACACCTAGCTCTTTCCTTTGGTTCTGTTTTAGCTTTACAGCTTCTATGCATCTCAGGTCTAACCACTCTGCTCATACAGGATATAAACCCCTCGAGTCTTGCTGTGCCCTTCAGTGGATTCACAAAGGGATCCTGGGATTCATCCCACCATATTCTTTCCCCCCAGTTAGCTTCCTCTAGGCCCTCTCTCTCCCCCTGCTCTGGTTCTAACCCAGGGGAGGCAAGCCTGACAGCAGGCGGGACAACCAAGGGGACCTAAGAGGACTCACGTGGGCCACGCGGATGCCAGTACAGAAGGTGATCTTGCCCTTAGGCTGGACTGTGTGGAGCTTGGAGAGGATTCGCCCAGTGTCAGGGGTGAGCGTGGTCAGCACTTCACAGTCACTGGGATGGGGCAAAGCATTTCAGGGAGTGTGCATGAGCATGGGCACCCCCAACCATGCCTGTCTTCTTTTTAGAGACCTTTTAAACTCTCATGTTTAGTATATACCATGCACAATAGGAAAGCTGTCCTCCACTTCCCAACGTTTCCTCCTAACTTCCATTCATCCTGCCCTGCTCTAGGGCTTGAGATTCCACAGTAACTGAACCCTACTTTATAGCAGCCCACTTTCTCCATTTGGAGACTTGGAGACCTATTTTTCAGCTAAAAGTATCTATAGCAAGAGAAAACAGCCCCTAAACAAGTGACTTTTTTCTTTTTTTGGTTGTAGGGCCTGAACTCTGGGGCCTGGGCACTGTCCCTCAGCTCTTCAGCTCAAGGCTAGCGCTCTACTACTTGATCCACAGTGCCACTTCCAACTTTTTCTGCTTATGTGGTGCTGAGGAATCGAACCCAGGGCCTCATGGATGCAAGGCAAGCACTCTACCACTGAGCCACCTTCCCAGCCCCAAATGACTTTTGGGGTACCAGAATATTTGATACATGACAAGGGGCTCTGGCTGAAAATCACCTTTCATTAACTTTAAAATACACTATAAAATTTCACCCCAAGACATTTATCTTCATAACTATACTAAATGGAATCAGCATTAAACACAGGAGCTGGGGGTATAGCTCTGTAGCACAGCATGCATACATGTACGACACCCTAAGATTTTTCTCATGGGGAAGGAGTGCTACTACGTACACTGGAACTGAAAAGAAGGAAGTATAGTTATAGAAAGGTGATGGGCAAAAGAGGCCTCAGGGACCCTACAGAACAGCCTACAGGTGTTATGGTGACACCTGGGAAAGGCCACACCCATTTCCATGCCCTCCACCTCCTCGGCCCCACCTACTTGGCCAGTGTGATGAGGCCCACGTTGTTTTCGGGGTTGCTGCGGGTCTTTGAGTGACATACTATGTTGACAGCGTCCTGTTGGGCCTGCAGCCGGGTTGGCAAGAAGTCCCCGTTCCGCATATACTCACTGTTGTCCACACTGACAGAGGGAGTAAAGGGGAGAGGGAAAACATTGTCCTTTAGCCTTTTTTTTTTGGGTCCTGATCTCTGGGCCTGGGCACTGTCCCTCAGCTCTTCAGCTCAAGGCTGGCGCTCTACCACTTGAGCCCAGCACCACTTCCGGCTTTTTTCTTTTTGCTTATGTGGTGCTAAGGAATTGAACCCAGGGCCTCAGGCATGCAAGGCAAGCGCTCTACCACTGAGCCACCTTCCCAGCCCTCCCTTAGCCTTTTTGCACAGGCTAGTGCCACACCTCTACTTTCAGCTTTTTGCTGGTTAAGTGTAACTAAGAGCCTCACAGACTTATCTGCCCCACCTGGCTTCAAACACTGATCGTAGATCTTAGCCTAGATCCTAGATCTCAGTGACTCCAATTATAGGGATAAGGTAATGGTGCAAGAAATAAAATGCAAGTCATTTTTCCTGTCTAGGAGAACCTGAGTTAGCATATTAAGAGTAAAGCCAAACACCTACATTTCTTGGCAATACTGGGGATTGAACTCACGAGCTTCATTCGTTTCAGAAAGGTACTTTACCACTCAAGCCACATCTCCAGCCCCCTTTTGTATTGGTTACTCTCCAAGTAAGGTCTTGCCAGGGACATGTTGGGCTGGGATTCTTCTACTTGTACTTCCCTACGTTGCTGAGGATAACAGACATAGGCCACTGTGCCCAGGCCTTGTGTTTACTCTGTAGCAGGGTATTAGACATGCACCCCATGCCCGGCCATTGGTTGAGATGGAGTCCTGTAAACTTTTCTGCTCAGGCTAGCTTTGAACTATGATCTCCATCTCTGTCTCTCAAGTAGCTAGGATTACAGGCTTGAGCCACCACACCCAGAAAATATCTACATGTTAAACACCTCCAGAAAATTCTGATGTATGGCAAAGAATGAGACCCTATGGAAAAACAGAGGTGGCCCTCTTTGTTACTCTATACCTGGGCTATTACAGCTAATGGCCAGTATGCCCCTCTGGTTCTAATCTTTTTTTTTTTTTTTTTTGGTCAGTCGTGTGGCTTGAACTCTGGGCCTGGGTGCTATCCCTGAGCTCTTCAGTTCAAGGCTAGTGCTCTACCACTTGAGCCACAGCACCACTTCTGGTTTTCTGAGTGGTTTATTGGAGATAAGAGTTTCTTAGCCTTTCCTGCTCCGGCTGGCTTTGAACTGCAATCCTCAGATCTCAGCTTCCTGAGTAGCTAGGATTACAGGCATGAGCCTCAGCGCCCAGCTTTCTAATCTTTTCTTACAATCAATCCAGACCAGCTTCTGTTGTTGTTTGTTTGGTTTTGAGACAGGGTCTATGTATCTCAAGCTGGCCCCAAACTCACAAATCTGCTGTCACCATGCCTAGTAAAATCAATACTTATTTTTATTTTTTTCTGTCGGTTGTGGAGCCTCAACTCTGGGCTCGGGCGCTGTCCCTCAGCTCTTCAGCTCAAGGTTAGAGCTCTATGACTTGAGCCACTGGGCCACTTCTGGCTAAATCAATATTCTTAAATGAATGATAATTTTTATACAGCTCTGTATCTGCCATGCTCAGAACCTTCTCAATGGTGGAGTGTACAAAATTCAATTCACTCTCCTTAGCTTTCATATATATACACATATATATACACACACATATACACATACATATGTATATATACACACATATATATATACTTCTTAAATTTTTGTTTGCCAGTCCAGGGGCTTGAACTCAGGGCCTGGGCACTGTTCCTGAGCTTCTTTTGCTCAAGGCTAGCACTCTACCACTTCAGCAACAATGCCACTTCTGGCCTTTTCTGTTTATGTGGTACTGAGGAATTGAACCCAGGACTTCATGCATGCTAGCTAGGCAAGCACTCTACCACTAAGCCACATTCCCAGCCCTGACGTTCATAATATTCCACCTGACCCCAACTACAACATTAAAAAAAAAAAAAAAAAAACAGTGCCCAGGCCCAGAGTTTAAGCGCCACAACTGACAAACATAAAAGCACTGGGGGAGTGGCTCATGTGGCAGATCACTAGTCTACCATGAGGCCCTGAATTCAATTCCCAGTACTACTCATAAATAAAAAAAAAACTTTTACCTTTGTGACTTAACATAGCCACGACTCATTGGTAAAATGGGGAACTTTTTTGGGGGGGCCAGTCCTGAGCTTCTTTTTACTCAATGTTAGTGCTCTATCACTTGAGCCACAGTGCCACATCCAGCTTTTCCTGTTTACGGGGTACTGGGGAATCGAATCCAGGGCTTCATGCATGCTAGGCAAGCTCCCTACCACTGAGCCACATTCCCAGCCGGAGAACTACTTTAAATAGTGTGGTAAGAAGATCTAAGTGAGATAAAGTAATGAAAATCCCAACACAGAGAAAACAATCTCTAAGTGCTGACTGTGAAGATGATACAGGGAAAGACGCTGGCAATTAGAAAAGAGGCATGGGGGGGGGGAGGTGTAAAATCGCTCTTCCTAGTACCCATTATTTTGGGGAGAGGAGAGAAAGGCAAAGTCCGAACAGCAGAGTAAAGGAAGTCAGGGATCGGGGGTCGGTGGCAGCCCCCGGCTAGGGGCTGCGGGAGTGGCCAGGCCTGTCGCCTCCCGGGCCTTGGGATGACTCAGGGAGTCGTCCGGCTCCTTGCCTCCGGCACCCAAGAACACAGCTGGCCCGCCGGTCCCCCACCTATATCCCATGCCCCGCGGGCCCCCAGGCTGCGCGCGCCCCTGGACCCACGCCCGCCCCCACAGACCCGGAGGGAGCTCCTCACCAAACCATGGTGCTCTCCAACACCATCTTGCCACTTCGCTCCCTTCCCGACCGGCTCTCGGGAACTGCTGAACAACAGCTTCTTCAATTGGCCCGAGAACGTCACCAATCACAGACTTCGGTGGTGTACTCTGGGCCCGCCTCCCTCCCCGCGTGGCATTCTGGGAGTTGTAGGCGCAGCGCACTAAAAGGGCTGTCAAGCTAGTGGGAAGGTGGGTGGAGGTTACGTGGTGACGCTCGCACGGAGAACTTTATCTCCACCTTCCCAACCATCCTAGTTCCTAGGCGAGATACCAGAAGCTGTGATTAGGTCAGTTCTAGCATTCCAACAGATACATATCTTTTTTTTTTTTTTGTCTTTTCTTTTTTGGTACTGGGGATCGAACCCAGGACGTTGCACTTGCTAGCCAAGCGCTTTGCCACTGAGCTACATCCCAGCCCTCAGATACATATCTTTTAAAAATAGCTAAAATGGACATTTGAAACATTAAGATACGGGAGGATTTTCAGTTTTATTGTGGTATCATTTTATTTCTTTGTAGTTACAGGATTTTCTTTGGATGATGATGATGATTATTTGGTCATGGGGCTTGAACTCTGGGCCTGGGCGCCGTCCCTCAGCTCTTCAGCTCAAGGCAAGTACTCTATCTCGTGAGCCACAGCGCCACTTCCCGTGTTCTGGTGGTTTACTGGAGATGAGAGTCTCAGGGACATTTCTGCCCCGGCTGGCTTTGAACTGCAATCTTCAGATCTCAGTCTCCTTAGTAGCTAGGTTTATCGTGAGCCACCGGCGCAGGGCTAGTTACAGAAGTTTTACACCAAGACCACATTTGTAGGACTGTAGGTTAGTGTACAACTACCAACACTAGCTACTACTCACCACTAGAGGGACCCTCTGACCAGAAGGCGGCCTCCATCCCTGCTCTGCATCTAATAGCGCACTGAACAGGGTGTGTGTGACAAAGGTCAGAGTAGCCCAAAGTCTAGAACACATTCAGATCCGGCTCCTACCAAAGGAGGATTGAACCTGTAGGTTAAACTCAAATAAAAATGTAATTCTGCAGTATGTTTTTTGTTTTGTCTTTCTATTGTGGTTTAAACACAGGGCCTGGGCACTTACCTTAGCTTATTTCACTAAGGCTGGTGCTCTACTGCTTGTGCCACAGATCCACTTTTTTTTTTCCCTTTTACTAGTCCTGGGGCTTGAGCTCTAGGTTTGGGCACTATCCCTGAGATTTTTCTCAAGCATAGCACTCTACCTTTTTTTATTTTTTGGTCTGTTGTGGGGCTTGAACTCTGGGCTTGGGCGCTGTGCCTGCACTCTTCAGCTCAAGGCGAGCGCTCTACCACTTGAACCACAATACCACTTCCAGTCTTCTAGTGGTTTATTAGAGGTAAGAGTCTCACAGACTTTCCTTCCCCGGGCTGGTTTTGAACCGTGATCCTCTGATCTCAGCCTCCTGAGTAGCTAGGATTACAGGCGTAAACCACTGGCACCTGGCAGCACTCAACCATTTTGAGCCACAATACCACTTTCTGTGGTTGATTGGAGATAAGTCTCAGGGACTTTCCTGCCCAGGCTGACTTTGAACTGCAATCCTCAGATTTTAGTCACCTGAGTAGCTAGAATTACAGGTGTTAGCCACTGGTGCCCAGCCACCTGTGGTTTTTTGGTTGTTAAATGGAGATGAGGCCCAGTTTCTTGCCCAGGCTGGCTTCAAACTTCAGATTTCAACCTCCTGAGCTAGGATTACAATCATGAGCTGCAAGGGCCCAGTTTTGTGTTTGGTGTGAACTACTGGGGCCTGGCCCAGGTTCTTTTTTGTAGGCTGTGGGGCTTGAACTCGGCCTGGGCTCTGTCCTTGTGCTGCTCTTCAGCTCAAGGCTAGTGCTCTACCACTTGATCCACAGTGCCACTCCCAGTTTTCTGGTGGTTTATTGGAGATGAGTCTCAGCTTTCCTGCCTAGGCTAACTTTGAACCATGATCCTCAGATCTCAGCCTCCTGAGTAGCTAGTATTACAGGCATGAGCCACCAGCCCCAGGCTAAAATCTTTTTTTTTGGTCAGTCATGGGCCTGAACTCTGGCCCTGGCACTGTCCCTCAGCTCTTTAGCTCAAGGCTAGCGCTCTACTGCTTGAGCCACAGCGCCACTTCTGGCTTTTTTCTTTTTGCTTATGTGGTGCTGAGGAATTGAACCCAGGGCCTCAGGCATGCAAGGCTAGCACTCTACCATTGAGCCACCTTCCCAGCCCCTGCCCAGTTTTTATTCACTGTGTTCCCCTTTCTCTCCAATTGCTGTCACTATTATCCCAAGACCCTATCACCTCACATTTTATTAATGTAACCAGTCTTGCCTTCTCTACCAGTTTTTTTTTTTTTAATTGTGGTCTTAGGATTTGAACTCATAGCTGCTCACTTGCTAGGCACTCTTACCACTTGAATTATAATAACTCACCTTCTTTTTTGTCAGTTATGGGACTTGAACTCTGGGCCTGGGCACTGTCCCTCAGCTCTTCAGCTCAAGGCTAGCACTCTACCACTTGAGCCACAGTGCCACTTCCGATTTTCTGAGTGGTTTATTGGAGATAAGAGTCTCATGGAGTTCCCTGCCCAGGCTGGCTTTGAACCACGATCCGCAGATCTCAGTCTCCTAGTAGCTAAGATTACAGGTGTGAGCCACCAACACCAGGCTCTTAGACTTTGCTGCCCGAGCTAGCTTTGAACTGTGATCCTCAGATCAGCCTCCTGAGTAGCTAGGATTACAGGCGTGAGCCACTGGTGCCCGGATCTTACTCTTATAACCATTTGGATAGATCTTCGTTAGTAGATTGGTCTCTGAACTTTTTTCTTTTTGCAGTGTTGGGGATCAAACATGGGGCTTCACACACACTAGGCAAGTGCCCACCACTGAATTATACCCCAGCCCCAAGTTATTTTGGTCATATCTAAAAATATTTCATGATTCCCATTTGTTTACAAGTTAAAGTAGCAGCTTCCAATGTTGTATCTACCTATATGTATTTGGTCATTCTCACCATCATCTCATTCTCAAAAACAAATCTCTCTCATACCTCTACGTTCCTCTGCTGAAGTGAAATTTCCAGCCCACAGTAAGTCTAGTTTCCGTCCACTTGGATGGTTTCTATCACTCAAGAGAACTTAAAATCCTTAGTTAGCATATCTAAAGTTATTCTTATATATGTGTTTTACTCAGGCACTATAAACTCTTAAAAGACCACCCTTTTATTTTTTGGCAGTACTAGGATTTGACCTAGGGCACTTACTATAGGCATTATAATACTGAACCCTATGTGCTGGCTGTATTTTGAAACAGGATCTTGCTTCCTGCCCAAGTGTGCATCCAGCCTTGATCTGCCTATTTTTTGGGCTTCCTATTGTAGCTACTATGATAGCTGATGTAACCATGTCCAGATGTGGGGTCTGCTCAACTTTTCTCCCAAGTAGCTAATAGGAAAAAGCCACTGGCTCCAAATTAGTGTGCTGGTCATGGCTTGAATTCAGGGTCTGGGCACTGTCCCTGAGCTGTTTTTGCTCAAGTCTAGTGCTCTACCACTTGAGCCACGGCTTCACTTGCAGTTTTTTTGTGATTAATTGGAAATAGAGTCTCATAGACTTTTCAGGCTGGCTTCCAACAGTGCTCCTTAGATCTCAGCTTCCTGAACAACTAGGATTACAGGGTGAGCTGCCAGCACCAGCCCCAGCTACTTCTTTTGACCTCCCAGCTCCCCTGGGTATTGCTCACTAGCTGTTATATAAATATTTGTAAGCTGATCCTCAGATAGGGAACAATGCTACAAAAAGAACAATACGAAACAGGCATGGGGACACATGCCAAAAATCCCAGTTCAGGAGTCAAGGCCACCTCCTCCTGAGCAAGTTCAGTTCAAGGTTAGCAGTGCTCCATAGACCTTATTTGGAAAAAAACAAAGAAACCATAACAATGTTTGCTTTTCTCTAAAGCTTTCCCACCTACAAGCTTGTTATATTTTATTTTTTGTCAGTGTGGGGCTTGAACTCTACGCCTGGGAACTGTCCCTCAGCTCTTTGGCTCAATGCAAGCACTCTACCACTTGAGTCACAGCACCACTTCTGGTTTTCTGGTGGTTATTTGGAGATACAGTCTTACGGACTTCCTGCCCAGGCTGGCTTTGAACTGCTATCCTCAGATCTCAGCCTCCCGAGTAGCTAGGATTACAGGCGTGAGCCACCAGCACCCAGCTTTAGTTTTTGACACAAGAACCTAAACGCAACCTCACGAAAGAGCTAGAGCTAAAGGGCTGGAACTGGTGGTTCACGCCTGTAATTCTAGCTACTCAGGAGACTCAGGTCTGAGGATCACTGTTCAAAGCCAGTCCCAACAGAAAAGGCCGAGAGACTCTTATCTGCAATAAACCACCAGAAAAACCAAAAGTAGTCCTGTGGCTCAAGTGGTAGAATGCTCACCTTGAGCTGAAGAGCTGAGGGACAGTGCCCAGGCCCAGAGTTCAAACCCTACTAACTCCAGCCCTGCTGGCTCAAGTAGTAGAGCGAAACACAACAAAGAGAGGAGGCAGTATGGATGATTTTCTGAGTGACACCCTAGGGCCTGTTCAGAAGGCAGGGACTCCTAGGGTCAACTGACATGAGGCTTGCTCTCCTCAATTCCTCTCCTTTCCTATGCACCTGAGTAAGCTGAGCTTCAGATCTCCAGATCCTTCAGTTAAACTGGATTGCCATTTATGCTGTAACAGCTTTTCCTTGTTAGATTTAACTTGTGAGGTGGCTGGAAAACAGGGATGAAGACATTTCTCTTGATTGTAGTTAGACTGAAGCTGGAGTGAAAGCAACTGGAAAACGTGAAGCATTCTGTTTATAGCAACTTGAATAACAGTAAGGTTAGATGGTGAAGAAGGCTGGAGCAGATGCAATATGAAAAAGGTCCAAAGAAAACTGGGGGGTATACCTCCACCATAGAGCAGATGTGCTGGATACTGGATTCAATCCCCAACATTAAAAAATAAATTAAAAAAGGTCTAAATAACAGATCAAAGTTTATACATTAAAACCAGATATTTATATTTATTACTTTTATATTGCATTTGCCATTTCTGAACAATACAAAGTAGAGGCAAATAGTAACACTTCATAAAAATGTCGAGTCCCCATTCCTTTCCCTAAGACATAGTCCCTCCCACCCCTTACAGAACTCTGTCCTGAATAAAACACATAAATACATCATAAATAGTAAATCATGAAAAAAATAGCAAGAACTGTTTCTTTCCTTCTTGTAAAAAAGAACATGGCAACAAAGACAGGCAGCCAAAAACTGGCTGGGGGTGTCTAATATAGACAGTTACTTGGGTATGGGCTAGCCTACTATCAAGGTAGGGTAGGATGGAGAAGAGATAGTAGTGTGTGACTTCAACAATCTGCCTGAGACACCACGCCCCCTTCTTCCCCTGACAAGAGTGGCGGATCAAACAAGAGATGGACAACCACAACTCTCAGACACGGGGAGGGGAGGGTTTATCAGCCCCGTTTCCAAGTTCCCTGCAACAAGAGGGGGCAGCCATTTGACACAGCGATGACCTCACCAAGGCAAAAGTCTGCTGCTCCCCATGAGTTTAAGAGAATATTCTCTATCCTCAGAGATATAGACTGCCTGTTCAACAGACGCACGTGTCTCCCTCCACCTTAGCTCCATGGAGAACGGAACACTGTTGGAAAAAATGGGAAGAACAAAGAAGAAATCTCCTTTGGAGAATAGTCAAAAATTCATTTGCTAGGTCTTCATATTTAGAAAAAGAATCAGAATACATTTCAAACTGCAAAATAGTACTAATCATTATGGCCTGGCAGTGAGGAGGGTTCTTCTTAAGAAGGGCTTTCATCTCCCAGCCCCATGGCTGCCCCACTGTTTTAATACAAAGGGAGAGAACAACTCATGTCTCTTTTGCTCCATTCTTTCGGCCTTAAAACCTCATCAAAAGAGAAGTTACGAGGAGCTGCTGCTGACAGAACAATCACTGCCTTCCGTTTCTCTGTAGGAATTCTGCATACCAAGAGGCACCTCTTTTGACACTTCTGGAGTTTTATCTGAAACTGGCTTGAAATTGTGCTGTGTGCTGTTCTTTTCCTTTATTAAGGAAAACTAAAAAAGGTTGGGAGGTGGTTTAAATACCATTAATTCCCCCCCAAAAAAATTTACAAAAATTACAGGGGTCTTCCTCTAAGGATCAGAAAGGAAGAGCTAAGGTGGGAATAATGGGGTGGCCAGTCTGTCCTGAGGAAATTAAGAGTCCAGCTCCTGGCAGAATCGAAGTTCAGCAACCCCACTTCCAACATGAAAAATGGGGACTTGAAAAAAAAATCAATGTGGAAGCCAGGGCTAGCCATCTGAAAATTTGTGTCCCCCAACTCTGGAGCGGGGGAGATGCCGCTGTCCTCAGCTGTCCAAGGCACTACTGCCCACTCAGAAGAAGGGAGAGGGAACGAGACTCTTCTTTTAAAAGGAGATGGAAAGCTCCCTTAGCCTCCAATTTCTACTCCTTTTTTGATGACCAAGAAAAGAAGAAAATTCAGCATTCCTGGGGCAAGGGCTGACATCTTGAGATCACAGAGACAGTAGAATCTTGTTTTGGGTCTTCCAAGGTTTGCTGCTCACTAAAAAGAGAAAGAGTATAAAGTTAAGTAAGCAGAATACAAGATAAGGAGACAGGAATAGAATTCAAGTTAATTTCAACCTGGCTGCTAAGACACTTTTTGTTTATTTTCGTCTCAGATTCCAAGTACGAAGCACCAAAACACAATTTTAAAAAAGCAAGATTCAAGAGGCACTTAAATGCTTTACTTTCTTGCTCCATCCCACTGGTGATCCATTTTATACCCTTCAAAGAATTCACCTCCCGTAAGTCCCAGACACTTACATGGGTCAACTCTGGCTCTGTAATTTCAAGCTTTTCCAAGGTTGTACTAACAGAAGAAAAAGAGAGAGGAAAAAGATTAGAAGATAACAAGACTCTACTTGAGGTCAAATCTCAGAATGCTTCTCTATATTTTACTTCAGAATTAACTCAAGATTCAGAAAGAAGCAGCTTAGAAGCTACTAGAATCAGAAGCGCATTATTTTGAGTAAGTGGTTTCTTTTCTTTTTTGTCAGTTGTGGGTCTTGAACTCTGGGCCTGGGCACTATCCCTGAGCTCTTCAGCTCAAGGCTAACATTCTACTACTTGAGTCACAGCACCACTTTTTAAGGCTAGTGTTCTACCACTTTGAGCCAAGTAAGTGTTTTCTTTAGTGCTAGCGCTTTGCTATTCTGTCTTCAATCCCCAGGTGTGGAAAGCAGTTTCGAAAGTGGCTTTGCTTTCAATGATAACAGAAATGTCAATTCTGAAGTTAAGATTACAAAAAGGTTGTAGCTTCCTCTTGGGTCATATGTTCTCTTTGCCTGTTTGCTGAGAGCAGCTACTGCCATGTTGTGAGCTGCCCTCCAGATAGGACAATATGACAAGGAACTGAGAGAGTATCACTGGCCAATAGCAAGCCAGTGAGGAGCGGAGCCCTCAATCCAACAGCCTTCATGGAAATGAATCCTGACAACTATCATGTAAGTGAGCATGGAAGTTGATCATCTTCTCCCAAACTTTCCTCTTTCCCTTCTGCTCTCTCCCCCCACTCCCTCCAGTGGGCACAGGGATGGAGCCCAGGGCCACTTGAGTGCCAACCAGGCACCCTGTACCACTTAGTTACATTGAACACCCCAGCCCTAGGCAAATTTCCAAGTGAGACTACTGCCCTGGAAAATTGCTATCTTCTGGAGAGACCCTGAGACAATAACATCTAGTGAAGCCATGTCCTAGACATTTTTTTTTTTTGTCAGTTGTGGGGCTTGAACTCTGTCTGGGCTTGGCGAGCACTCTACTGCTTGAGCCACTGATCCACTTCCAGTTTTCTGAGTGGTTTATTGGAGATAAGTTTCACGGACTTTCCTGCCCGGGCTAGCTTTGAACCATGAAGCTCAGATCTCAGCCTCCTAAGTAGCTAGGATTAAAGTATGAGCCACCAGTGCCCGACTTCAACTACTGAATTTTATGATATCTTACTAATAACTTACTAGGCAATAAAAAAACATTTTTTTTTTTGGGTACTGGTTCTGGGGATTGAACTCAGGCCCTGAGCACTGTCCCTGAGCTTTGTTGTTCAATGTTAGCACTCTACCATGTGAGCCACAGCTCCCAGCTTTTTTGGAGATGAGTCTCACGAACTTTCCTGTCTGGGCTGGCTTTACACATTGATCCTTAGATCTTAGCATCCTGAGTAGCTAGGATTATGGGCATGAGCCATATGCCCAGTAGCAATACAAAAAAAAATTTTTTTTAGTAATATAAATTTTTGTATGTGAAAGTGGGGTACTGCTATAACAAACACCTAAAATGTAGGTGGTAGAGGATGAAGCTCAGTAGAACACTTGTCTAACAAGTGGGAGGTTCTGAATTTAATGTCTGACACCTCAATAAAGGTAGGAATAGCTTTTGAAGAGAGGAGTGGGAAGGAGCTTTGAGAATTTTAGTGACATCTTCAATGTAGAATTTTGGACTTAAAGGGTTTCCAGGGAGGGCTTAAGGGTTAAGTGAGAAAAATCTTAGTAGACATGAAGGAAATTCTTGTAATGTAGTGGCACAAAAACTAGCAACAATGTCATCTGCGATCATGTGAAAGGCAGAATATTTGCCTTATGCAGTGGGTGGTCTAGCTAACCAGATTGCCAAGGCAAGTCCTCGAGATCACAACTGGTTTCCTCTTCTTTTTTAGCACTGGGGACTGAATCCAGAGGCTTTGGTGCTCTATCATTTGACTCCTCTACCTGCCCCTAATGGCTTTTGAACAAAGATCCAATCTAGAAAATGTTTGAAGATGAAGCAAGTTATGAGTTTTAACACTCTATTAAGGCCTCAGAGAAAGAAAAGGTGATGCTTTAGAATGCTGTTTAGTTATATCAAAAAACTGTTCAAAATGACTGGGGGGGGGGGGAGAAATTAACTCAGTGAAAGAATGCTTGCTTAGCAGGTATGAGGTCCTGGATTCCGTTCCCATCTCCCTCAAATAAAAGAAAAATGAAAAAAGGTCAAGGAATACAAGTCATCTGAAGTTGTAAAAGATATATTACATAGATCCTCTGAGAAATAGGGTCTCCAAAAAGTTTAGGACTTCCTAAAAAGATACGTGTGTGTGCGCACATGTGCATGAGCAGATGTGTGTGTGTGCACAAACACACATTCAGGGCCTGTCCCTGAGCCTTTTTTGCTCAAGGCCTCAAGGCTACTGCTCTACTACTTGAGCCACAGTACTACTTCTGGTTTTATGGTGGTTAATCAGAGACAGAGTCTCAGACTTTCCTGCCAAAGCTGGCTTCAAATTGTGATCCTCAGATCTCAGCCTCCTGAGTAGCTAGGACTATGGGCAGTATAGGTATGTTAGGTAATTGCTCTACCACTGAGCAACACCCTGGTTCTTGGAATTCTCTTTTTACATAAGAATGTATATAGTGGTCATTTGAGGCCTGCTCTACCACAGTAAGATAAGTGCCTGGGAAGATTTTAGTTTCAAAGGTCCACGGACTGAGAGGAACTATACTTGAGGAACTGTGCTTAAGGAATATACTTGGACAACTCATTCAAAACCTGGATGTGGCCGGGAATGTGACAGTGGTAGAGTGCTTGCCCAGCATGCACGAAGCCCTGGGTTCGATTCCTCAGTACCACATAAACAGAAAGAGCCAGAAGTAGCGCTTATGGCTCAAGTGGTAGAGTGCTAGCCTGAAGCAAAAGAAGCTCTGAGGCAGTGCTAAGGCCCTGAATTCAAGCCCCAGGACTGGCAAAAAAACAAAAAACAAAAAATACCCGGATGTGGTCTGGTCCCAGTACCATAATGGAATGGTATTTTCTCCAGAATCTGGAAGGAAGTATATATATTCTGCACAAAGAGATGTGTGTTGCTTAGGGTTAGGGGCAGACTGTGTAATCCTTCCTCTTGAGTATGAGTTGCATTAATGAGTAGAATGTAGCACAGGTAATAATATGCTATCATATCTGCAATTAGGTATGTGCTCTCTTGCATTGTTGCCATACTTTGAGCTGCCCTGTGGAGAGATTCATATAGCAAAGAACCAAGGGAGGCTTCCAGTCCCCAGCCAGCAAGGAATTCCAGCAAGGAATTAAGACTTTCAGCAACTCAAAAGGAACTGAACTATATAAATGGGCTTAGAAGCAAATCCTTCCATTGGAAACTTTAGATAAGAGTCTAGCCCTGGCAACAACTTAACTCGACCTCACGAGAAACCTTGAGCCAGAAGATCCAGGTAGGCTGCACCTAGATTCCTGACCTACAGAAATTAATTTACTATGATAAAATAATACACTAGGTAGCAAAGTTAAGTCACCATCTTTATTGTACCCTTCTCCCCCCTCCCTGCTGTTTATTGTTGTTTTTGTTGTTGGTGGTGGTGGTTGTGGGGCTTGAACTTAGGGCCTGGGCACTGTCCCTGAGATTTTATGCTCAAGGCTAGTGGTCTACCCAGTCTGAGCTACAGTACAACTTCCAGTTTTCTGGTGGTTAATGGGAGGTAAGAGACTCACAGACTTTTCTGCCAGGCTGGCTTTAAACTCCAGATTTCAGCTTCCTGAGGAACTAGGATTACAGGCACAAGCCATGGGCACCTGGCTATATTGGCCCACTTTGAACTCCCAGCGGGTCCAGGCACAAATGATTCACACTTATAATCCTAGCTACTCAGGAGACTAAGGAAGTCTGTGAGACTATCTCCAATTAACCACCCAAAAGTCAGTAGTAGTACAGTGGCTCAAAGTAGTAGAGCTCTAGCCTCAAGCAAAAAACACTAAGGAAAAGCACCAAGCCTCCAGGTCCCAAGTTCAAGCTCCGGTAGGGGCACACAAACACAAAAATCTCTGCACAAATCTACTATTGAGCACAATCTACTATTGAGCACAAACAAGTAAACCCTTGAAAAACAGTAAAGAGTCTCAAAGCTCCCAAGGATGTGAAGAGACAGAAGATTATATGAAAAAGGGCCAAGGGAACTAACCTTGTATTTAGTACTTGAAAAGGCTCTGCAGTTACAGCTGAGACACTGGGTGACTCCTCAATGACTCCCTCCAAAGATGGAGTCTGAGGTAAGACATCAGGACGGCCGAGGGAGACATCTGGAAAGGAAAACGGGGAAGAACATGAATAAAGGGAAAAAGATGTAATGGGATCAGGGAAATACAGGGGGAAGCTATGTAGCAACTGGACTTTTCCTGGATAGAAATGGGGAGTAGAGGCACTGTTCAGAGAAGATGAGGACTCAGGAGGGAGGAGGGGAGGACCCCAGCCCTGGCGCTGACCTGGCTCCACTTCCGCCTTTGTTGTCACTTGTGCTTTGTGTTCCCCAGAGACCGATGACTGGAAAGTAATGCAGGAGTTGCCGCTGGGGCCTGCTCGCCGAGAGAAAGATGAGCCAGACCGAAACTTTTTGGAAGGAGAGGGCTTCACTTCAAAAGGGAAAGAGAGAGCCTACTTAGCACCCACTTCAGAAACCATCACCAAGACATAGATACAAACTGCTAGTGCCCCAACACAGACCCAAAGTTGTTCTTCTGAAGCAGAGCAGGAAGAGAGGTTAATGTCAACAAAGATAAGCTCTACAACGTACTATTCAGAGCAGGGGTCTTCTTCACTTTGGAAAGCAGCAGAAAAACCTACAGGAAGAGTAACACATATCCCTCCCCTGCCTCCCATATGCAACCCTTCATAGCTTTGCTTCAACCAATGAGAGATGTCCTCTATTCCATACTTCCTGGCTTTTTAATAGTATCCCCAAGTAAAATCTAACAAAGATGACCCTGTCATTCTACATTCTCTAAAGTATTTATGCACACAGCACTATGTTATTTATACTTAGAAAATGTCACTTTGAAAACACAAAATAGTAACCATGTGTAAAAAAACGTAAGGGAGAGTACAAGGCCCTGAGCTCAAAGAGCTAAGGGACAGCGCTCAGGCCCAGAGTACAAGCCCCACGACCAAAAAAAAAAAAAGGCCCTGAGCTCAAGCATGCTCATATGCACACACACACACACACACACACA